TGTATCACCATTTTCCCTAGGGGAGCCTGATCGAGTGTACTCCAATTAGGTTTACGTTGCAAGGTCGATAACCAGCAACTAAACATCGAAGTTTGTGGCCGCTTAATGGGTGTCACTGACCCGTTGACACACATCTAGAGGTACACGATAGTTTCTTGCTCGACTGCGAACTTCCTCGCGGATACTTTTATAGGAAACCACCATATGTCAACGATCGCACGTCTGTCGATCTGTATACTGATGGGTGAAAAAAAAAATAGAATCAAGTTGAAGGATTTATCGGTTTTCTAGACCCATCGATCAACTATGACTAACGTCGATCTTATCTATGCTCGATACGTATGAGCCTTTCTGACATAATAAAAATAAATACGGAGGCGTTCGAAGATTTATGATCGCTGACAACGGTAGCACCTTCTTTACAACCGAAAACCTATGATACCTTACTTTCACACGAAATAGTTTAATCGCGTAATCGTTGTTTTGACATCGTGCCCAAAGTTTTTCCTTTTAATTATTCAGCAGCGATCGCGTAACAAAAATGAATGCAGAGATACGATCTAACCGAGTACTAACGAGCCTTACTTTCCATCGCGTGAAAGTGAATCTTCCGTTTCATAAGTCGAAAAAAAAAGGACACGAATGGTCAGTTACGCCGATCTCTCGAAGGAAAACGAATGGCTCCAGATGAACGTCGATCGACAAGTAGAAAAAGACAAAATGGAGCTACATAAAAATGCAAGAGTTTAATTTTGCGCACCACTGCCCGTACATTGCGTTTTTTAGTTTTTCAATAAACCAAGGAAAATCGCTCGAACATCGTTGTTTTATTTTAATTTAACGACCGCTCAGCGAAATTTGGTTGTTATCACACAGTGCTGTTGTTGTCCTGACATAATAATGCAAACGTACGGTTATGAAATGCAGATTCTCATTTTAGTTGCACAAATATTTTACGCAAACTGTTATAACAATATTTCTAAAAAATAGTTTTATTTAAATTTTAAAGAAAAGTGTGCAAGGGGTAAAATGAATGTTCTATTTTAATGCTGTATAAAATAAAATTAAAAAATCTTAACATTATGTTCATATTTTATATATCATTTAATTTAAAATCAATCGCGAGAAAATATAATTGTCATACGATTACACCAAAAATAATGCACCGGGCAATGGGTGCGAGTTTCTAAAAGTTGCAAATTTAATTGCTAAAATTTAATGACCGCGTGATTTCGACATAAGTGTAACAATAACTTGCCTTCTTAATAAGCGTTCATTCTTCGTCAGTGAAACATGTCGTTTCTGGAACGCGGAACGAAACAACAAAAGTGGTTCTGTTAACGAGCCACGAGTACAGGCCTTCGAAAGCCTCTCGAACGCTATAGATACGCTTTTCGCGTAACAAGCACAAATTGCTGAAGAACGAAGCCTCCGAGCTAACGAGGAAATATTTGCCCTGCCGTCAGAATGCATTTGCATTTCATGAAAGTTTCGACGAGGCGAAGCAGGCGCCTAGCGAAAATTATCGCCGATACCGAGGCAACGTTGGCGAACAGCATTCCCGTTAGACACGCAGAAGAAATTATTTACCATTCTATCGGCATTGCGCGGCATTAAAGGCCATAATCGGACGCCTAGGGACGAACTGAAACTTTACGAGCGTCGGATGATCACCGTTACCGTTCACCGCAAACACGCCAACCAATATTGTGCTTCCCGTCCGTCCACGTTGCATCTCTCGCTACGACAACGGCGAAAAGAAACCGGTAACGAGACCCGTAAATCGTTCGCGGTTCGAAAGAATCGCGGAAACAAAACGACTCGCGCATTCCTCTTTCTAGAAGGAAATTATTTAATGAACTGAAATTCTATTTATTTAAAGTTTCAGGAAATTAAATCTTGTCGATTCGTAAAATTTTCCGCTCTAACAAAGTTAGGAAAGCCGCACCAATTAAAACTATAAGAATTAAATAAATAAAATATAAATATAAAATATAAAAGCGTATATACTTATATTCTAAATTTAATGCATTAACTCTGCCATGATAATTATTAATTAAATTTTAAAAGTTATTTCTAAAATTTAGTCCTTCCGTATAAAAACTTAAAATTTGTTTTGAATTTGTCGATCTGAACTTAAATCATGTAAAACTTTAAAAATCGAACAGACTTAATTTATGAACTTCTGTATTTATAATAAAACTTTATTTAACGAGAGATTCACTGACGATCAATTCCCTTGGTACCACGACAGATCTCTGATCGATACATCGCGTCGTTTATCATGATCGATGGCTGGGACGCGTTCGAAACGCTCGATCAAAGTGTCTAAGGTTTTTTCTCGTTTTACCTAACATTGGTAATAAATGTCCGGTGTCTACGAACACCATTCATTAAAAAGGATTTTGAGAAAATAATGTACTTACACGTGAGGTGTCTGAAAGTAGGTACTGTCCTTCGCTCTCAAGAAATCTTGCAGGACTTCAGAGAGGTTAGAGGGGGTACTGCGCACACATCGACCGACCCTGTAATTTTACATGGCCTATTAGTACACGTGACCGCTTCGACCAATCATATGCCACGGCCGAAAGCTCGTGGGAGCTGAGGTAGGGCGTGACCAATCAGATCGCGTTATTTCCATAGGACTTTTTCTCAGCGGAAGACTGGAAATTTTTTAATAGGTAATTACTAAACGAAAAGTTCAAATACAACTTTCGCTATTATATTCCAATTTTAAAAAGGTATATAAAAGTAAAAGAACTATAATAAAATTGCCAAAGTTTACGTACTGCATTTCATCAGCCATGCTTCTTGTTATATCTGGGTTGAACCTCTGCGTTCGTTCGAGTCACGAAGTCGATGGAACAAAGAACCAGTGAACTTTAAAATCGTTCAGTATTATACTTTTCCGCGTGCCCGTTCTCACTGCCTCCGTGCATCCAATAAATGAGAATATTGGAAATATCTCAAGGGCAGCGTCGGCCGTTCAATATCGAGTTAATGGCAAATAAAAGGACGCAAGGGAAACTTGATTACAGTAATTCGATTCTCTGATCAGCGATATCCGGTTTATCGACTTCGCCGACGGTTTCAGTCGCTGTATCATTTTTCACTCATCTCCTTCCAAGATTTAGAAAAAAAGAAAAAACACTGTTGCGGTAACAATGCGTGGATCGTCGAAATTATCAGCATCCACCTGGCGGTGTGTGACATTAAATGAAATAAATGATTGCGACACGGAGCGTGAATCAACGATCGATCGAAGGCGCGAATTCTCGAGATCGGTCGCGCGTGAAGGGAAGAAACACGCCCGAGATTCTGAAGCGTTTGCCCTTTTCCGATCATGTTCCTCGAGGCTCCGACTGGAACATAGTTAAGCCGGCAATTCGGCCGTGACGAAAATAAATTTTACGCGTAGAAACTTTCTTTTGCGGCCAAAAATTAAAACGTTTGTTAAACGAAATGACACCTATCAAAAAAGGTTGTTATGGGAGTATATTTTACTCGTCATAATACTTGATATACAATCATCGTTAAAATCTTGGTATCTCATATTCTTTTCCCCTACTCATTAAAATTGATTTTAAAACCGATGTGTTAATTGGAGTTTTTTGCTCCTCTCCCGTGGATACTAAAGCCATCAGAGTCCCTTTTTCGATCGCCCTATATAAAATATGAGTACACCATGAATATTTAAACGGTACATGCTAGAGTTCACTGTTGAATCACGTTTGTTATTCGAGCGGTAATTTATTCTTCCCCGATTGGCTTTGTTCTAATGTTCTCTTTGCCCATTAATCCTTTTCGATGCGTTTTACCCAGGCCAGCGAAAGAGAAACCAGAAAAACCAGTAATATGCGATTTTTCTGAAATACGAGCTCACTCGATCTTCTCATTAATTTGCCGTCCGCGGTTAATTACACGCGCGCACGATACGGTGCCTTGAATGTATTCCGTACCGAAGGAACGGCTACGAAATTCTTGTAATCGAGACTCGCTTAACCGCGGAACGGGAAACGTCAATTAAAGAATATTATTCTACGAGTATCGACCGTGTACTTTTCAACAACGTTTTCTACTCTTCTTACATAATGGATCGCTCGAGCCCGAGAAACACCGATATTGGTTTTCATTGTCAGCTTACATGCAATTTCGTCGTTTAATAAACTTTAGCCGGAGGGTCTCGGACAGAATGTCTTTAATACACCGCGATCGATTTATCAAAGGGCAATTCCGTTCCAGTGAAAACAAAGAAAATATTTTATCATACATACCTGTAGCTTGAAATTTTATTTGAAGAAAAACATTTTATAGATCATCGGTGATCCACCTGACAAGAAACGTGTTAATCAACAGATCAGAAAGGCTTTAAAATTACTTACATGCTGGAAAATAAAAAAAAAATAAAAAATGATTGAAACGTAGATGCACGTGCAATATATAAACATACACGTACCTAATATATAATCATTCTTCGTTTGAAATATAGTTCGTAAAGCGAGCCGTTCAATTATCCAGTCATTCCGTAATTAATTACTACCGCACTAGCCATCGTGGCGCCGTATCAGTCATAATTTATATACCCGAAGGTATCGAATATTTCCAGTGATCGGTTTTTACTGGATCTCCTTGGAATTTCATAAAAATGAAATCATCGTGGTCGTGTATCAGAATCGTGACCCGTCGTTATTTATTTCCAATCTAATACGTACCGAGAAACGGGACTCGATGGAACGGGAATACTCAAGGCGTGTCTTTTCCGTGTTACCTGCAGCTTGCATCCACTTTCTCTGCATTGTTAGCGAGCTGGACGTTCCGGGCATCCCTTCGGAACAGCGTGCGGGCAATATGAAAGAGCGAGTTCGCGTGATTATTCGAGAAACCCGTGTCACAGATGAAAGGAAAAAGTGAACGAGTCGATATGGTTTCGATATTCGCTTTCCTGAAACAAGAAGAAACAAGTCAGCTCTTACTTTCTTATGTAAAGTAGTACACAGCCTTGCAAACACTGTCGTTTAATCAATTACGTCCCTTAATGTCCCATCAGATGTGGCAATACAAATTCACTTAACAGACTGCAATCGTTACAACAACATGTGCAATCGAGTTAATTTCCAGCTCCATTATAGAGAATAAATCTGACATCGTTAACTACCTGATAATGGGTCGTTTAGTAGCAATGTATAAAGTAAACCATTACTCACTGGGTACAATCTACGTTTTCTTTCGCAGCACCATTTGTGTCAAGGAACGAACTTAACCCAGAGCCAGGTCCCTTCGCACGTCCCACGATTATCATAAACCGTGAACGGAATCTTGATTCGATAATTCAAGGGTCCTGTTACTTCATTACGTTTACGCTCGCACGAATGATCGGTATTCGAGCCCGACGTGCTCCGAGAGCATTGTAATTGTCTCGCCGGTACAGCTGTTCGTTGCAGGCGACGCTTGAATGCAAATCGTGTATTTTTAATTCACGAAATAAAAAGGAGAAATGAATGTTATAGCGAAGTAAAAATTGAAAGTAGAGAAATATTCACCCTCATATGATCGACCCCTAAATTAGAATTCTGCCTCCAACGTCTACCGTTCGAGGGTTAAGAAAGGCATTATCCAAAAGGAGCTTTCGACGATATTTTTTTCCTAAACTATTGAAAGCCAAACGACTACCACCAACGAAAGTACTTTAGTAAAAGTGCCAATTCGTGTTGAAAAAACGTTCAACATTCAGCGACTATAATTCGCGCGTGACGATTCGAACGCATTGAAACTACGATGTTGCTTCACGCGGTTTATTACCGCAACCGAGGTATTAAGAAACGAAATAATTTCTTGGAAAGGGGCAACGTTTATCGTGCAACGACCAACGTTCCCTGCTTTCCCTCCAAAAGCAGACACAACGTTGACCCCGGTACACGAGAAACACCTCTGCTCTTCCTCCTTGATCCTTTCGACGAATATTATTTCTGATCGGCGAAGTAAATGATTAGCATAAAATGTGGATGGAATACAGGGTATCTGATGCGATAATGGGGCAACACGCGAGCTCTTGACGATTGTTTCTCGGATGGAAAACGGTATGGAAGAGGTTCGTGACAGTCGTAACACTTTCGTGGGTCGATCGTTAAACACCGATATCGACGACAGTAACGGTATGTCCGTTTATATCGATGCCCTGGCTCCTTGACAATCTACACGCGTCCATTGTCCTCGAGATTACATAAGCGATTGCGCGCTGTTCTTGAAATCGGTTTTTCTTCGACGCTTGCAGGTCAATAAGAAGTTAGTTATCGCTTCGTTGATGCGTATTATCGGTATTGACTAGGGATGCGCGAGTACCCGATATTATGGGCTCGGACGGGCAGTCGGGTAACCCGACTATTTCGGGTCAGGTCGAATAAAGTCGGATAGATTCGGACGCGGCCGAATTAGTCGGGCCGTACATCACTACTACTGACTATTAGCAGGCAAAACAGCCTGTATACCTTTCGGGGTAGACTCGAGTCTACGAATCGCGAAGGCCAGAAACTTTCTATTCCAACCAATTTCCATACGTCTATTTACGAGGTAATTACCACCGCGAGCACAAGCGAACTCGCAATTATCGGGGAATTACATATTTCCTTATAGGGCTTTAATAAGAAACTTTCGTGAAACGCGACTACCGTGTTCGATGGGTTTCTACCCGTTCCCTCGGGTTCGATCTCGATAGACTAGTCCCTTGATCCGCGGTAGATAAGAGGAATACGGTGCAAGAAAGAAGATCCTCCTTTTCTGAACGGCTTGTCGACTACGACACCTACGGCCGGTCTTACCGAGATTTCTCGTTCAGAGATCACTGACACGGAGGCTACTTCTTACGAGCTGTTAACGTATTTTTAACGTCGCGTCGTCTTAAGAAAGTCGTCGGCTGTTTCGTTGAAGAGGCTGTAGACGCGTTGGAAAACAGTCGCGAGCTTCCAGCAGTTTTTCAACAAATGCTCCGACGCTTGTGCCGTTGCTCGACAGCTCGGTAAACGCGACGGTGTCCTCGTTCGGTAAGAACCTCTTGGAAGAAAAATCTTCACCTAACGATCCCTCAGCTTCGAACTTCCCTTCGAACGCCTTTTTCTCAAATGCGCAAACTCTATTCTCCGAGTAAACTGAAGACGAAGATATCAAATGCAGCCAAAAATCGAATACCGGATAACTTAGAGCAGCTAATATAGTTCTAAAATCTAAGAAAAACGAAACCCCGCTCATAACCCGCTCCGCCGTTCCCAAGCTTTTGTAAAGGGCGCAAATTGGGCTAAAAATAAATCCACTCCCCAGCAGCCACCACCCTCCAAGTGGCGCCGGGTTTGGATTATCTGTCCACTCATGGGCTTGCCAATCATCGTTTTCGGGTACGGAAGACCCAACGCTAAGGGACGTTGATATTGGGACGAAAAAGCTAACCCGAGTGGGTTAGCGACTACACCCACCAGGCGCATTGCGCCCGTGGCTGTTCATAGGAAAGAGCAGATGGAATTTCCCTTTGCCTTCGGTAGTAAGGTTCGAGGAGCAAAAGAAACGGAGGCACGAAGGCGCGCCGTGGAAGACGTCGGGCCCTCCGGCTAGGCGGAGCCATTTTAAACTAGTATCTCGTTCTTTCTAATGACTGTCATTTACCCGGGTGTCATCCTCGTGTCCTGCAACGTCCGACAATCTACGACAGCCCTTCATACTCCGCGTAATCTTTTCAATGTCCGACGCAAGATGGATTCCCGATGTCATTAGGGAACATAAAGTGTCTTTCTTTCCTTCTTCGTTCGCCTCCACGTTTCACCTCCTCCTTTTGCCACGCACTCTTTTCCGTCTGCCTGCTGGAATTTGCCTCGACTCCTCCGCTTCTGTCAGCCTGCTCGGGCGGCAATAGTACCGCCAGGTGTGGTCATTAATTTCCCAGCGAGCTGGAAAAAGTTTCGTGTCAGAACCGAACAAAGCTACCGTAGAGCCTCTTTCGTTGGATTCAACCGTCGCATTTTTGCCAAGCGATTATTCGCCAAGACGAGCCACGTCGAACACGGAATTACTATAATTCTCTGTCGTCGGGCGAGCATCAATTTTCCGAGCGTTTTATCCCGTGACCCGAAGAGAAAAAAATGTCCTCGTGTCATTTTCGTTGCGTTTGTCACGAATACCTGGCGCAGTTTACCATTGTTGGAAATCGATCGGAAATCGTTCGAAACGCGACCATCACCGTCACCCTCGACAGGTATTCCGGTCGCATAATTGTCTCGCCGCAGGCATGCGACTAATATACCCACCTGTGTATCATATTCGAAATACACGATTAAACCCATCTCGACACGGGAAACGAAACTTTCCACAGTTCGCTGAATACGATTTTCAGCTGTAAAAATAATCGTCGTTATTAGCTTGCTGCTCGTGCGAAGGTAAAACGCATGGGAATAAAAGCGTGAAAGTAGCGTTGCTGGTTTTACGTAACGAAAAGAGGAGGCTCATTAAAGTCGGTTAAATTCAGAATAAAATATTATGTCGCTGGTACGCGTGCTTGTGAATTCGTTCGGTTAAATGAATCGTGGCCCATTTTCAATCGTGATGCGATGGGTGTACACGGTTCAATGCCTACCTCTCTTTTTTACGCTTTTGTTGATTTAACCCGTGGCTGGGTCGATGGGTTTTCAAAGGTAAAATTAATCGTTCGAATTTCCAAACGAAATACTCTCGCAGTTTATGTTCGAATTGAAATCTATAATGGAAATTATTTACCTTCCTAGGTCCGGTGGTTCATCCGGCACACCGAGTGCTGGTATGGTTCCATCGACCGGTGGAGGTCCTGGGAATCCAACAGGAGGCGGTAGGATGGCCGTCATCGGTGTCACCAGGAACGTCAGGCTAAGACGACGCGGAGCATCCGGATTCGGTTTTTCCCTTCGAGGAGGAAGGGAATACGCGGCCGGATTTTACGTCAGCGACGTGCAACCAGGAAGCGAGGCTCATAGAAACGGATTAAGGGTAAATTCCTGTCCTACAGTGGTAGCGATCCAACTACTAACCGGTTCGTTCGATACGCATTAACCGATATGAATCGATTTTGTGATTGCGAAAGAGCTGCCTTTATGCTCTACTTCATCCATGGCTTCACGTTTTTCCTTCGTTTCACTTTGTCAGTATTGTTTTTTTCTCCGCCAGGTCGGTGATCAAATTATAAGGGTGAACGGGTATCCGGTGGAGGATGCGGTCCATCAGGAAGTTGCGCTTCTAGCGAAGAATCAACAAGTTCTCGTCCTTAAGATTCGAAGTAATTAACCAAGTTTCACGCTAAGTATCCTCTTCCTGTGTCGATGATGCGAACTAATTACGTTTTTCTGTTCCTTTCAGGCGTGGGAATGATTCCTGTGAAAGAGTAAGTACCGACAGTTTGTTAAAAGTAATATCACAGACTTAAACTTAAAATACTTTGAAAGCTTCAGTTTCATGCGAAATTGCTTAGTTGAGATTTCAAAACATAATACCTGTTTTATGATTCTTAAAGCAATCCAAACGATCCGGTCACCTGGCACATGGTACAACAGCAACAGCAACAGCTCCAGTACAACGAAACTGGTTTGGGTGCTGTGCCGAGCAACGAAGTCAGAATTCGAATTCTTGTCGGGGAGAAGGGACGTTTAGGTTGCGGCGTTTGCAGAGGCCTCGTGCCCGGTCTCACCGTTCAGGTGAACATTAAATTCTCGATTGATCGATCGACGAAGGGGATTAGTAAGCCTCGATGATAATTAATCGAAATTTATTCAGGGTACCAGAGACGACGGACCAGCGAAAGCAGCAGGCTTGAAAGCCGGCGACGTGATCATTTGGTGCAACGGGCAAAGGCTCACCGATCTTCCATTCGAACGAGCCATCGAGGTAATGAGAAGCTCTGCCATCCTGGACCTAATAGTGCAACGAACCACGCCGAATCACCTTTACGACTGCCCGGAGCCACTCTGGACTCGAGGCTCCAGTGGTTACGACTCGGAAACGTCGAGCATGGCTACAACCAGTCCTCAGCCACAACAGAATTCTTCTTATTCGCCTCAGCATCATCAAGATCCGAGAATGCATCATCGATATCCTCGCGATGACTCCTGCTACCGAAATGGAAGGTTGGTTGTAAGCAGTTCAAACGGGGCCCTCTCCATGGTCCGCCGTCCGAGGATTAACGATAAGTCCTCGGTGACATAATATTAATCCTCTACGGGTTATCATGATCGCGTCTATTGTAATTGCAATTAACAATAACCGGTTGAACGTTCCTCTGGCACGTAATCAGGGAAAATGCATAAAATATACCGGATACATATCTCTCTGGTTAGCAGCCGTTATCGAGTGGCATCGGTGAATTTACACCAGGAGAAAGTCGTTCTATTAATAGGACATTTCGCGATAACAATCGCGATACAAGCCACGAACGACGAATTCCTAGCGGCCACACGAAACGTTCATCCTGCTCTTAACCTCGCGCTATACCCACCTCCTGCTTCCTCGCGGGTTTAATTGGGATTAGAAAGTACCGGTTCACGTGTGCTTCGTGGACAATTATATCGAAACACGTGTTTGTTTTTAGGATTTGCTGTCCGTTAGCCTTGTCCACGAGCAGTTGCAGTACCTCGGAATGGCCCCAGCTGGATCTGGTAATGATTCTTTCATCGAACAAGCAACTGGATGTCTTCGAGATTTAAATAATAAATTATGAATTTACAGAGTCAAGAGTGGACAAGGAAACCAAATAACACTACGGTAATTCGTATCAATCAGAACCAGAACCAGAACCAGAACCAGAACCAGAACCAGAATCATAGGTTTATGGGTGGACAAGGTCGGCCGAATTCAAGAGACACTTACGAAGATGACATCGACAACGAGCCACTTTACGATCCTGTTGCTCCTAGAATCGATTACGAGGTACACGATTTCGATGCCAATCCCCGTGACGAGGCTAATCGTCGTCTTGCTTACCGACGGGACAATATCAGGCAACAGGACGTCATTTATGATGGCCCTGCTGATGACATTCCCTATCACGTACCCAAAGTAAGTCTATACAGAATGTCTGTCGATGAAAGTTTTAGAAAAAATAAAATAGAAAGGAAATCATGTTATTTGATAATTAAGGAGTTGCCAAGCGCGCTTTCTAACTCCCGAGTCCTCTCATAATCATCACGACTATCTGATCGAATTAGCGTGACTTAATTATAAAGTGAAACAATTATTATTTCTAAACTTCTCTGTTCCATCTTGTTCCAGGAAAATGGCTCGCAAGAAGGGGAAAGGAAAACAGTGACGACAGTAGAGGTTCATCAATCAGTGTGTCCACCAGCACCTCCTCCACCTCTTCCTTACAAGTGGCCTGCAGGTTTGTTAATAATAAATGAAATAAAAATTTTAAGGGAAGATTTGAAACCAATGTTCAAATACCTTTTTGATATTTTTCAAAATCCTATATTAGGATCATAAAGAGTTTGCTATGGTTGCAGAAACGAAGCCAATGAACGCCATGGGTATGCAAATGGGTAGCACGATGTCGATGGGCAGTACTGGCTCGACCGAGACCGAATCGAGCCTCGAGTCATCTTGCAGCAAAGATTCCGCCTCGACTTCTTCCTCCTTATCGACGTCATCCTGCGAGCCTCCGTCGACGGTTTCCTATGGTTCGATCACTGCTGCCTCGACTGGGACCAATAAAACCAATGACACCATCGTGACCACCGCGACCACCGCGCACCCAACGTCTCGCAATTGCGCCACAAGGACATCGCCGATCGCCTGCACCGACCTAAGCACTGCCATAACGCAAGAATTGCAGAGGCGGGCGCAGCAGGTAGTAGGATCAAGGGATCTTTCTGTTTTTCTTATTTTCAAAGAAAGTAATACGCGATGCACGCACAGTCTGTGTATCGCGTTACTGGAATTCCGATTTTTCCTCTTTGCGTTTTCTCCTCTTCTCGAGAAGGCGCTTAAAATTTCATTTTATTATTTTCATCTGTTATCGATTACTTCGAGTATCAATCAAAAACATTCCTAATAATAAAGCTCATTGAAAAGAAAATTTTTGCGACATCGTGATTCGTTGTAACTGTTTCCCTCCTTCTGTTATCTCTGCGTTATCCGCGTAGATAAGGATTCCCTTTATAGATAGTTTCTCCTTCACGACGATAAAATAATCAGAGATTTAATTCGTCATTTCGTTTTAGAAAAAATTCAAAAGTATGACGTAGTTATTGATGCTTCTTCGCGTTAGCGAATGATTAATTTGATCAGTCTTTCGCGAAACACCTGATCATCGACACGCTTCTTGCGATCTTTCAGAGAATGAACAACGCTGCCAAAACGGATGCCGCTAAGGAGAAAAATCTGGAACCACGGAAGCCTCCGAATCCGGAAGCACTTAGGGCACAGGAACAGAAAGTGACGCACGACAAGGTACCTGCAATTTCAAATCGTTTTGTTTCAATAGTTTAATTAATAATATAATTACGCAATAGTGTAATGATGTACCTACTTTTAAAAGTTGAGAAATACAAAGAATATCCTCGACAATTGCAACGATCAACCGTTCACATATCCTCTTTGCGATTAACGATCAATTTTCGAAAATGCGAATCCACACGCGATTCACAGGGAAAGGGTTAATTCAACTCTCTGACCCTCCAATTATACTCCATTACACGCTATGACTCTATTACGCTCTCGATGCAATTATACCGACACAAACAACGCGCTCCTATCATTCTTCCCTTAACGTGAGAACCAGATGTTCATATCAGCAACACCCACTCGATCTCTCCTGCACTATCTCCGACACTTGTTCCTCTCTATCGTACCAGAGGTTCATTCACTTCCAACGCTACTTAATTGTCCGTGTAATTAATCGTCCATTAAAGTGTACATCAGGGTAATAGTAATCTATAAAATGAATCGGTACACACATACATTTGCCTGTGGATTTTCTAATAAGTACGATATACATTAATAGTTGTCGTTAAACGGTGCGCGGTAATAACGAGTAGAGAGTTGATCTAATTAAAAAATTATTGCACGATCGAAGGACGGATTCACAGGCGCGCAGCTCGCTCGAGTACGCTCGGGGATCTTCTCCAGTTTATAAGTGAACGCGGATGGAGCGAGCTGCGCACTCGCGATTTCATTTCGTTCTCTTTATTTTCAAGTAATTGCAACATTCTTTGCAGCTGATGGAGGAATTCAAACGCGCACACCGGAAGATGTTCAACTCCGCTCAGCAGAAGGTTCACTTCTCTGATCAAACGCCGGAGCAGGTAAGAGAATGATAAGCTTATCTTTCTGGTAAACCAGTGTTCCTTTTTTATGCTCCATTACGTGATTCTTTTTCAATTGTTTTCGAACAATTCGCGGTATTTATATAAGCGTCTCTTTTGTCGAGAAAGAACTTTAGAGAGGTTCTAACTTTTTTTTTTTAATTTTAAGTCACACTGACAAGGATCTAGCTTTTAACACTAGATTGGTGGACAAATAGATCCTTCAAAATAGGCATAGCACATATGGATTTTTGGAACTAAAATGCGGAGAGTGGAAGGAATTAGTATTTGTATATTAGATTAAATTTAAAAATTTAAAAATTATTTAAGTTTTTCTAAAAATCGTAAATGAGTCAAATTGTATCGCTCCGACAATCTAGTGTTAAATACACTTTTACACAGAATACAATGTTTCCAGATAAATTGTACATAATTATATGGACAGGAACGATTATTAAAAACTACACTCGTTACTTTCACCGTCTCCTTTCTTTAGCGAGAAGACAAGAGCTTCTAATTACAGAAAGGATCTCGAGCGTGCATAGGTAAAATTGGTCGAACGCGAGCGCACGCGGAGGGCGATGCTCGCGATGGAAAAAGCGGAAACTAGGGATACCCGACAAGCGGTTAATTAAAAATCCTATTAGCACTTGTGATTGAATTTGCAACGAGAGAAAGACGGACGAGATAAAGGAAAAAAAATGTAATCCCGAGCGAACGTACGCTTGGCAACCGAGGTAAATTAAATATTGATATAAAACGAGAGGGGGAAGATATAAAAGCAAATACACTCTCGGTGAATCTTTCGATGGTAGCCGGGAATGCTTTCTTGCGATGGTAATTACACAACCAACACCGAGAGATCTGCCAAAGTAAACAGATAAAGCATCGAAATTACAAAGGCACCGGAGCAGTCATTGTCTGACGTTCGAAAGGAACTGTACGCGATCGTGTGAGTGCATAAACGGTCAGGTGCGGTTGAAGTTTATGTACGAGTCACGTTTAATAACCGTAATACACCGTGGATCGTTGAAACTGAGAGATAATTCGTATTTCCGTGTCACGTATTACTTCTGTAGCCGAATTCTGTAGAACGGTGGTTTTAAATCGCGCCTTTAATTAAAACGTAACCGATTAATTAAGCCGATCGACGTTCAAGATACAATAATAGCGCGGTTGAATATCGAAGGCTTTCTAAACCGCTCGAACGATTTCATTAATTAACTAATTAACTAATCAGAAAATTATCGGGTAATCGTATACCAATCGAATCGTTTTAAAAATATCATACTACCGTGGATTCGTTAGCTGATTATGTAATCGAGTTATCAGACGGTAATCAAGCGTATTTATTAAACGATTTATCAATCATCGGCCTCGGTTGGTACACGCGCGAGCGCGCACACCGTCCACTTTTGTTCCCCGGTTTTGTCCCTCCCCCGATCGTACATCTTACGAATTGCGGCAAAAGTGCAAAATAATAGAGTTTACATAAGAGCTTGAGGAGCTCGTGACTGTTTTCAGTCGACTCGAGTCCGTGGCGTGCGATCGGTTTCAAGGTGGCTAGCCGACAGATACCGCAACCTACGACCAACGTTGACTCCGCACTGTAATTAAGTAAAAAGTGTGATTACCATTTTCCGACTAAGGAACGTTGTTACGAATTGCCATAATCGGGTGATGCGAAATTCGAAGGAAAATAAAGGCGAAGTTGTTTCTGTTTAGTGTTACGAACGTTCTACGCGGACTATGTTAATTAACAAACCCTGAGAGTGACTTAGAAAAATTGCTTCCAGTCACGCAGCGCTGACGAAAAGGATAATAGTCGATCGAAAAATGCTTCTTGAAGCTTCGAAATCATGAATAGTGAATCGAAGAAGAGAAGTCGCGTGGTGGTTACTATTACACCTTACGATGTTAGTTGTCACCTGTATCACTCTGTTTAACATCAGTTTAATACGCAGTGGAGCTAAGAGGAACACTAATTTACACCTTTGTAGATTGAAAAAATTAAAGGATACGTAATTGTTTAAACGAAACCAGTTCAGAATGTAAGATGAAAGAAAGAGAAATGGATATCCTTTAATTTTCACTGCTCTACAAATTATTGTAGAAAATTCAATTGTAATTTTTCTAAATTAATTTTTCATTCCTAATTGTCCCTAGGAACAAGAGAAGAGGGTACTGAATACATCACCGCCGAATATTCCACCTGCACCTCCAGCACCTCCAGCGTTTACAGCAACCCCCGCTCCGCCAGCTCCTCCTCCACTTCCGCTTCCTTCCAAAAGCAAGCCTAACGAGGATTCAGTGGAGATGCAAAGCATCGAATCTTTTAAATTAAAAGAAACACCCAATCCAGTGATTCCAAAACCACCTCCGACCTATTTCCAGAATTCCGTGCCTATGACGAACGGAAGTCCTCGACATACCCCTACCGGAAACAAACCGCAGGTTAACGGGAAAGAGTCAACAAGTCCCGTATCGGAAACACCGAAGATTATCCCACCACCGCCAGCTCCGAGCGCACAAAATTTGAAACCCGCCAGCGGAAAAGTCGCCATTAGGATAGGAGCGTACGAAGGAGAAGCTAAACAGCCTTCCAAGTTGGACTTCCTGTCGCAGCAACCGCGCAACGACAGAAACGGAACCGAGGAACTGGCGAACGGGCCAGTGGTTTCCAGGCTGCAGAACGAATTGGCTGCAACTTTGCAGAGATCGAATTTAAGAAGAAAGACTGAAGGGGTAAAAGTTTATTTCACTGTCCATTGTACACGAGATAACGTGTTCTTGGAATATTACATACGTAAGCGAACTGCGTCTCTGAAAACGGAAATTATGTGACCAGAGATATGCAGAAGTTTCTATCGCGTATAGATAAGGATATGTACACGGTTTCGCAATGTTGAAAGAGTGTGACAATTTTTAAATAATAAGAACAAACGAAAGACACGGTGCCCACCTTTTGCCTAAAGCAGGGGTCACCAAACTTTTTTGAGAAACGGGAAATTTTTAAAAATTTTCAAATGGGAGTTGGACGAAAAATAGAACATAAGCGTAGGAAGAAACCGGTGGACAAAGTGGGTAGAGCAACATTGAGACAGCGTGAGAGACATTACTGTACTTGAAAGTCTTATACCAAATCACTATAGAACAATAGAAGAATCGTTGTCGTGTATTTATAGAATTAATATTTCTTATATAAAATATTTATAAATAAAAGTTAGGGGCCCAATGAAAACCTCGGGCCATAGTTTGGTGACCGCTGGCCTAAAGGGAGACAAAAATGATAAAAAATATTTTGGATAATTATTCAGGAAATATTAATGATTTTTACAAAGTTTCACGAAACTCAAGAATTTTCCATTTCAGGAAGCACAACCACCCATCAAGCCGATTCCCGAGAACTCAGCAGCGTCCACCAACGAGACAACGAATTCGGAAGCAGGAAAGCTGGCTCAAAGTAACGTAGAGAAGCTCGCGTCTGCTCTGAACAACAAAGTCACCATCAAAGTGAATCCAGAGAATAATAATCGATAAGAAGTTAGCATTCGTTTAAGTCGAATATAACGATTAGGAGTCCACCATGTACCTCTGATGCCACTTTGTACATTTTTGCACGTTCTTTGAACCTACATCGATTTTTATTCTAGATTAAAGACCGCTCCCCCTATTGGCGAGCTTCTTTTTTACGTCTTTTACCTGTACGTCTTTTTTTGTATGTTATTTATTATCGTATAATAGCGAATAAGGAGTTAAAAAAAAAAAAGGCTAAACACCCTTAATTAACCAAGACAAGGCACTGCGATACCTTTTTACCACGTAGAGCCGGTTGTCTTTAAACCTTAGTCTCCTCCGTCGCCGACTATGTACGAGTCGTGAACCTCGATGGAGGCATCGAACTGAAAAATAAACACGATGATATGTAATAAAATTTGGTTGCATTTTACTGTATTCCCCTAACACGTTTGCGTGGCTCACTGATAGCCTCGGTTCACGTTCTTTACAATACAACTTCACTACCTATTTCAAAACAATGATCCTTCAAAATAAACTATCGACGACCCTTTTTGATTACTTCATTTTCTATGCAACTACGTTCAAGTCTAATCGAGCCACAGGAATATTGCAAAATTCTAAACGCCCTCTGTCATGAACCGAGAAGCTGTTAAGCCTCTAAGCGAGCACATTTGGCTCTTAGATTAACCTCTACCGAGTGAACAACTCGCTGCACAAATCAGTCGTCATTGGAAAAGTTGTCCAATTGAATTTCTTAGATGATTTGTCTAAAAGACCCTCCTACTCGATGCATACAACTAGGAAACCTCGTCACCGAACGAGGAACCATGAAATGGAAGAGAATAGAATTCAAAGATTACTGGCTTCCGAATACACCGACTTTTCTGATACCATCATCGTGGAGTCTTCCTTCGCTGAGACCAACAGATATGGACGAGGAATTCGTCAAGTTTCTCTTGCTCTCACGCCGACCAAGTTGATCATAGCTGGAGACGTTTTCAGAGGGAATTCAGAGTTCTTTTGTCCTCGTGATCTTGACCCCAGCATCGAAAGTTTTGAGCTGATCTCGGTGTATCCTTTGCAATATGTCACCATCAGTGTGTTCAGCAGGAGACGTCGCAAAACATTAAAGGCAAGGTAGACGTTTAAGAAAAAGATTTGTGTAAAAGATTTGGCAAGTGGTTAATGGTAACTCTACCACTTGCCTTTTCTTATCACTTCAATGTCCTAAAGCTAGATGCTCTACCAATGTAACTTACGATTAAACCTAACTGGTGTCTCCTCTGTAACGCAGACTTCCTTTAGCTGAGAGCAAATATAAGTAGAAGAAGGTCCCTCATTACTTGCTTTTCATTTTGGGAGAGTCTAGCAAGAAGCCCACCCTAGAACCTCATCTCCCCCTTCCCCTACACTTCCTCTTAACTGATCAGAGTCTTAATTAATCATAATCTATACACAATACCTGATCAATGATCCGATGCAATTAGATTCATCGATGGAAGGACAAACTATTATGAACTCTCTGGTATACAAAGAAGAAAGTCTCTCTGGAAAAGGTGGTGCGAAGAGGTAGACAGATTACTCGCGAAGAAAATTGATGGAAGTTCCTTGTCAGAAACGACAGCTGCAAGTTCTTCGAGTAGTTCAACTCTGTATATCCTGTCTTCGGAGATTGAGATTCAAAGAAACACTGAAAAAGAAGGGAAAAAGACAGTGTACAGGTCGTACAAGTATCAATTGACTTTTCGGTTGCCTTTTACTTACACTGGCGGCAATTGTGACCTATTTCTTCAAATGGCATGACTAATATTTGCCGCCAGTACAAGTAAAACGCGACAGACTTTTCTTACCTATAAGACAGACACTTCTATAATTTGATAGAAATGATTGTAAACAGAGTATGGGCTCATTACGGGGGTGCCGGTGATTACGTGCCTCCAACTTGGACCCAGAAGGACCTGTACCTGGGTCCTTCTTACGACGAGTTAGCCAATGGTCAGTACACTCCAATTCCAGTGCGATTCGCCGGAGCAAGTCTGGAAGATATCAAGAATGAGCTAAGAGATCTATCACCGAACAGAGCGGATAAATTTAGCAGAAGTTGGCCTACGTGTCAGTGTTCGAAAGACAAGCGTCAAAATGGTGGACTCTGCGACGTGCTCTTCATCAGGGACCATAATCGTAAATACTACAATGCCAAGAAATTCTCTGTCGCTTGTCAGAGTTGCCCTTGCAATCGTTTTCAAAACAGAGCCTTCGACGACGAGAAACGAACCGTCTGGTACGACGAACAAACATTATACGAAACGACAATGAAACATGAAGAGTCAAAGAGTCCTAAGAAATCTTTGGCGCAAAGGATATCGCGATTCGGATTTGGTGTACCAGAAAAATGTCACTCAGGACTGGTACTTGGTCCTACACGAAGGGACAGAGTACGCTACGAAGCTTCGAAGTCGATTGAAAAGAACATGCTGAGTCTTTACGTTCTCATGGAGAGCGGCGTGAAGGTCTGGGAAGGTGAAGAGAAAGGTCGTTCCAAGTCCTCGAAACGCTTCAGACACTTCAGAAGATACGGTCTTTGCACCGCGCCTCATTTTCTTTACGCTCTTGGCCCCTGGTCCGTTCAACCTGGAGAACGGACTCTTCAGGGTCGTAGATCGTTCAGTCTGGTCACCGTTCGCCGACAGCCCATTGATACGGAACTGAGGCTTCCTGTATCTCGACGACAACTGGCAACCAGTATCTCTCATACTGCTCTGCAGTTGGGTAGGTTCGGGTCCATTGGTACCACTGCTAGAGGACGTGTGATTCTATTCTGGACACCGGATTACTGGTACAGACCCAGACCTGCTGCAGCTGCCTACAGGTAATTAACCAGTATCCATTTGTTTCAAATACCAGCATCAATTTAATGATACAACGGAGTGTAACCTTTTCCTATATCATCCTCAATACTTTGTATCAGATTTTGATACGCAACCGACCCAAGTGGATACTCCACCTTAACGAAACGCTGCGTACAATTTGAAATTAGATCTGTTATTAATGGTATTGCAACAGGGAGCTGAGGCAACACTTGAACCATCTGAGAAATTTTCGGCAGGAAAAGGAGCGTCCAATGAAACGGAAGCTGTTTTGTAGAAGGAAGAAGTGTCAGTGTCAGGAAGAGTCGATCGTTGTTGAAGAGAAACCTAGTATTCTAGGACGAATCTTTTCTGCAAATGGATCTGGCAAAAAGAAGAAGACATCTGAAGTACGAGAGAACAATGCAACTACTCAATTGAGAAGATTGTTGAGAATGGATTTCAGAATTACAATCTGGGATATAGATAGTACTATACTGGCCAGGCAGTTGGCATTGATCGATCGTGATCTTTTCGTTCGAATTCCCTCGGAGGAGATCGAAATCTTGGTCTTCCAAAGGAATTCTAGAAATGCTCCGAATTTAGCTGCCTGGATAGCCTTCGGTCATCGAGTTTCTTGTTTGACCGCCAGCGAGATTCTGGCGATGAAGAAGTTAGCAATGAGAAGTAGAATCATAGCGAGATTCATCAACGCAGCTAATAAATGTTTCGCCATGGGAAATTTTCATTCGTGTAGGTCAATTTTAGCTGGATTGCAGGCGCCTCCTGTTTATAGGCTACGAGGCAGCTGGTCCTACTTGCGAACCCATCACGCCAATAGGTTAGTGATGCGCGGCCCGACTACTCGGCTCGGTTCGGTAAACATCGGGCGGTAGCCCGACTGTTTCGGGTCAGATCGGATAAAGTCGGACAGATTCGGACGAGCTCCGGCGGCCGCGGCCTAATTCTTATGTACTTGTTAATGTTTCATTCTTTCTGCAGGTACGAAATCATGGAAAGGCTTTGCAAGATCTACAGAAATCCCTGTAGCTCCTCGTACCGTCGAGCATGGTGCAAAGCAGAAAGAAACCCACCTTCTATGCCCCACGTTAGTGATCTTCTAATGAGACTTCTTGCTCTAAATAATCCGCTATCCCAGCGGCAATCTGATGATCCTTACGTTGCGAAAAATAAAGACATTCGTTTCAAACCTGCTCACTTCAGTCGCACAGGATCGACGAATGGGAGCAAAGATGCATCGTCTCTGAAAAGTAATCAGGATTCAGATCAGAAACAGGGATTGAGTAAGCGTATTCTGGAGTCGGTATTAAGTAAAATAAAAGGGGATCAGAAAACGATTTACGAGGAGAAAACGGATTTATTATGGACGTCGAGGGAACAGGACTTAGCATGGAAATACTTTTACCAATGGAATAATATCGTTCTCCAACGTAGAGCACGCGTCGAGGAGCAGGAGAGATTAAAGAACATGGATCCAAGGATGAAACGGATTCTCGATGTTGTATCCTGGCTGATCGATTGTCAGAAACGTGCTGCGGGGTATGATTTCCCAGGACACTCGTTCACTCGTGAATTTCTATTGAAAACTCGATACAGGGAGGACCGAGAGAATTTCTTTATTAGTCTGAAACTGGAACCGCCAATGATAACTTGAATAAAAATATAAAAAAAGATAGTATATCACATTAATAATGAACATGAACATGATCAAGTATTAAGATCATCGAGGTAGAATCGTCAACTTAGAAAAATAAAATACATGAAAAACCTTAATGATCGCTAAAGTCTTCCATAGAAATGTTCAGGTTTCCCAACGCAATTTAGGTACTCCTCGAACAATCCATCGCCATCGTTGACCTGGTCATCGTCGATGAGGGGTACGCTGTATTCTATAATACAAGAGATTAAAAAGAAAAAAAAATGTATGAAAGATGAAGTAATGAATTGTAGAAATTAAGCAAATTTTTATATATATACACAATATAAAGAGAGAGAAAGAGAAAAGAGAAAGAATTATATATATACACATTTTATATACATACATCGATCGCTTTCTGGCACAGTGTATCTACATATGCTTTCTTTGTACTTACATATTTATACCATTTCTTTTAATAAAAATTTCCGATCCACTTATACACTCAAGTTTAATCAAACAATTATCGCAAATATTTCACTAAACAATTGTTAACCAGATAACAGCAATTTCATCATCATCATTTTATTCCGAACATAGTTTATATATATTATATTTTAAATATACGTATTTCAAGCATAATGCATACAATTGTTGCTATACATATGCACACACAACATTGTCTCCTTTAACAAATATTCATTCAGTCGTTAAACGCGAGTGTTTATGATGGGCGGAAGAGTGAATCTCGAACGAAAAGATCCATATCAAACTGTTGACTAGATAACAACGCAATCATCGTATTTACAATAATAAAATATACAGTCGCAGATTTAAAAAAAAAGAATGAGTGGGAGGAGAGAAACGATTGAATAAAATTGAACAAATGGGAACAATCTTTATCTGGCACGATGTTAGATCAAAATATGATTAATGGATCGTTGAAATATATTTTTTTTTAACACGTTGACTTTTATACGGATAATATGGCACAAGATAATATAGATTATATTAAAATTTTGACTGCTTATAATCGAGCACAGAATAATGTAGATTATTAAGAATATTAAGCAAAGTTAAAATTACCAAGATATGCAAATACTTTTTCCCATTATTCGACTAAATTCTCATGGCAGTCAACGTGCTAACGCCTTTGATACAGACTATTAACTATAATTTCCTTCAAACGCATATACGCGTTCATCGTAAAACTGTGTTGCCTTGCGTATTGCCATAAAAATAAATCTCCCCATTTACCATTTAATTTTTAGGCCGTGCTTAAACGAACCACTTTTGAACCACAGCCGCACGATAAAATACGCCGATCACGCACCAAGCCGCCTGCGATTCACTTTCCGATGTTATATTATTATTTGAAAAATCCACATCGCGAGTAGTCTCGCGGGAGATCGGCGTGTCACATATTTGGACCACGGCCCCGCCGCCATTTTGTCGCGCGGTTGTGGTTCAAAAGTGGTTCGTTCTAACCTCGGCCTTATCCATCCCTCCGATTCTCTAAAATCCCGTTCCCGTTGAACTACGATAAAAAAGTAATCTAAATGTACCCGGCTGCCATCGATGACTTTCTAAATTTCGAACTAAGATAAAATGCGCTCATCACAAATGCACGATCGGTAACGTATCGTCGCGAAGATTACAATATGAGGTTTCACAAGACAAGGTCCGAGGTATATACGATAAATACGATACAATAAATCTCGTAGAGTATCAAAAAGAATTATCTAGAGCACCGTTAAAATTCTGTCTCTTTCGCGCGTGATCCTAAGAGTTCAAAATAGATGAAATACTTCCTGAAAAATTGTTGTCTGATAGTCTTTCTAATACTATTTGTTGCGAGGCCCATCGTTCGATCGCGAAACCGTACGTTTCTTTCCCTTTAACGGAATTTTTTTTTTCTTTCGATGGTGAACCATCGATATATCGAGTCAGTCGTTGAAACGTAGACAGGCGTTACGTAGGGCATTTGTTCAAGGTCAAATGTTCCAAATACCTATTTTCTTTTTGTATTCGCTTGAGTAAAATTTATACCTATTTTATAATGTACATCTTTGTAGTTACATTAAGATTACATGCCGCCAGGTTTCGGAAGATTTGTATCGTAAGCTCTGATCACATCCGTTTGGGTCACCGAACCTCCTTCCTCTTGAGAGAATGCAAATCCATCTGCATCCCGCAGCATGCGCAATAATAAAGAGCGCAACCTATTAGTTTCTGTTGTTACAACATTACAACACATCAGCATGCACTAGCTACAATGTTAGATGTTAGAACTTTCTATCAGACTCTAAACTACATTTCTACTATTTTAGTTAATGTTAGAGATCTTACACGTTTTGAGAGAAAAATTAATCCTTTGCACGCGTAATTTTACAAACATCACTTGTGTGCAAAGAGTTGAAAAAGACCCACAATTATTGTGTAACTTATAGTCTAATAGTAGTAACAAGCGTATGTACAGAATCGAGCATGGTGAACTTCCTCAGAGAAAATGACGTAATTTCGGGTTCCAGCCCTCCCCATTGGTCCATGGCTCTCCACAACTTACGTATAACCGTTCACGCGGGAAAATTTGATTGATTTAAATGTAACGTTAAAGAAGCTTACTTTGCTCGATACTTATGCATTGTTAAATCGTACACTAGAAAAATAGTGCAAGTGCAAATATCGTGAAGAATTATTTAAAGCGTGTGCTCTTTTGTAAGAAATAAAAGATACCGAACGACGGAGCTTAATTAGACAAAGAAACTGTATAAAAGTTAGTCGATTTGAATCATTCCATATTAGTCTTTTTTTTCTCAATTCCTGCCCGTCGTTATACTACAAAATAAAACAACTTACGTGATAGCTCCACCTCGACATTAACTCTGGAGGCGGCGTTTGATCGCCTGGTGAAAACACTTTTAACGTTTTTCAGTAGCCGAGCCGTCTCCGTTAATCTGTAAAGCCGTGCAATCAAAAAGATTGATTTAGGAATACTCGTCTGGCTAGCGGTCGTCCTCATCCTTATGCGTATTACGCTTATCTAATTCAATTTTTCCTTGACATTTTCATCGATGATCGAAAATTTACCTGATGGTTACTTGGCTATCGTGATAACATGCGGTGCGTTAATCGGATGGTGCAAATCTTTCTGACTCGTGATGCCTTTTATTAAGACTGTCTGTAGATCTTTTCAAATCTTCTAATAAAAATTAATCAAACCAGAAATTCTGAGATAATTTTTCAGACAAATCTCAACTTAAGATTCTTTCCAAGATTCTTGATACAGAAAGACTATTTATATTGCATTTGAGATATTCGTGAGTAATAAAAATATAGTGACAGTGGTTACTCATACCGCGGTGCTGTTGCAAGCGAAACGTCGAACGATCATGCGATTTAATTAATTAGCAGTGCTTTCATCTGAAAGTGTAGAATTAACAGGAGCGCAATGAGTTACGAACTACTGGGGGGTACTTACACCTCGCAAGGTTGACGATGGCATGCACAGGCCTTCACGGGATACCGCGAATAAAACATACCAGAAAACCGCATTAACAAACAGCACTTGATACTGGACATGTGTGTAATCAACACGAGAATTAATTCACTCTGAATAGATACGTGTTCTATCGTTAGTTACAATGTTCCTGATTACGTCTTATTCCAAGCAGATCTACTTGTACTCAATGTGCAACGATAAAATTAGAATAATACAAAAGGAAATTTTTATGTGTAAATATGCATGGTACTGTTAATGAAGCTTTGATCTTCTTTTCACTACACATCCACCGTTTACTGCAAAAAATTCTAAATACATAGATTAAACAGAATAAGGAATGTGATAATTGATGATAATGAGAGCTAATTATACTGATACAAATGATGTTACTTAAATTGGTACTTAAACTTCTAAACCAATGCTACATCTGGTGGGAAATGCTACTAGGTGGGAAGAGAAGAAAACATTTATCTCATTTATATACAAATGTATAATAGACTTTGTACTACATATGTAGAAAATAACGTATGTCTCTGGTACATATACTCGATACAAAAATAGTTAACAGGTACAACTTTGAAGACTAAAAAGGGATATTCAAAAGGGATAAAGGGAATGTAAGATTTTGGAATGCTTACGGATTCCACATTGGACAGGAGTTCCTTGAAAGTCTTTAGGAATATGGAACATGGAATGGTGTAGACGAAACGTATTCTGTATGATGAGTGAACCATAAATCACGCGCCGCGAACGCTAGTGGGAAGATTCTGAATTTATTTCGCCTTCTTGGCGACCAGACCGAGGTCCGACACCAAATAAACCATCGCCTCCTCGAACATGGTCTCGACCTCCTGTTTACAATTTTTATATGTCCACTCAATCGAAATTTTTTAAACATTAAACGTATTATTTTTGTTAAAAATAAAAATTGATTGCTTTCTGAAAAAAAATCAACTACGACGAAAGCAGGTTAAATATTACTTTCACCAAGGCATGCATGCACCTAAATGATTGGTTAATTGGTGTTAAATTTTGAAAACTATGAAAATCAATTACCGTATGTTAATAAATAAATGCTTATAAAATTTTCTTTGATTAAGTTCTTTTTTATAATCTTACACCCGCTAAGCCATGCATATTAAACATTAAAAAATGAATTTTATTCCCAGATTAATCTACTAATATTTCATGCAATGTGTACACCATCGTATGTCTTGACGTAGGAAAACTTGTAACAACACGTGAGAAACGTTATTAGTAACTCACCCAATGTAAGTTACTAAAAACATTCATTTTTATTAATAATCACGCGTACTGAACCGCTAAATTGAACTTTTTATATACTAATATTCAATAAAAGAAATACTTACGAGCTTCTATAATCGTGGCTGTTAAATATGTCCCCAGGATCAGACTTTCTAATTTCATTTTCCCTAGCTGCCGCAGTTACAGATTTCCATACTGTATTCTTCACTCTGTAGTAAAGAATTTTTTACATATATTCACTTAGTATTTAGGAATACCTATTAATATTGATATAGATATGTACTTACGCCTTAACTGTAACATCCAAGAGTAGTACTGCTGATGGTATAAGTACCAAACCCAGCCAAAATACGGGTGTCGAAAACAGCATCCTATCATTACCTAACATTACAGCTCCCACATTTAAAACAGGCCAGAAATTGCTGAAATTTATGAAAATTGTATCATTGATTCTTTTAAGGTAAGTAAAATTACAAAGATGTTATAAAATTTACCTATAAATACAAATAAATAAAAACCAAAGCACAATAGATCCCCATGTTGCTACATGAGTAACCCACGTCCAGGAATTGGTTACTAAACCTGCCTTTCCGCATACAGTCACTACAACATACTATCAACAAATTCAGATATAATTAATTTTCTAATAAAAATATATTAAATGTATAATTAGAACGTACAGTATACACAAAATTTCCTAGAATTATATAACCGCTATCTCTACCGTGTGACCATATCACGTCCTCCTTTAGAACCATTAACGACAACCAATAGAGAAGAGATGAATGTATTAAAGCATTTGCAATCCAAATCCAAAACACCTGCATAAACGATTTCGTGTAAAACACAATGTGAAATATAAGTGGGCAATTTTAAGAAAGTAAATATTATTAAAATCACCTTAATATTGAACGATGACTCTCCAGTATTTTTCGTGGCATACAATGCTGGATGAGCTAAATGAGTTTCTGCAGAACATACTTTATCAAAAAGTCCCATCGCTAATGGAGGTGCTGCTGTAAATACCTAATATAAATACAGTAAATTATACGTTTTGATATAAAGAATTTTTTACTTTATTAACACATAGTAGCTGAATAACTTACAACATTATAAAGACCGATAGACCATCGTTCGAAAAGGATTTGTCCGGACCAGCCGGAGGAAATAGCAAACCACAATTCAATAATATAGAGACAAATATTTTTGTAAAACGAGTATAATATCAATTTACACATTCTACTATAATTCCAAGAGCCGTGAACAAATAATAAGCGTTTCAAAAAACGAAATTGCGCTATGGAATAGTCTGAAGCACAAGCTGCTTGAAGACCTTCGACGCCTGAAATTCCTAAACACAGAGAACACAGGTTGATATCGTACATTCGTTTTTCCCGCAATTAAGAAATTAATAAACTTACCAACACCAATGTGAGCTTTTTGAATCATGGCTACATCGTTTGCACCATCTCCAATTGCAAGTGTTACAGCTTTTTTATTACTCGTAATTAAATCAACCACCTGGAAAATTATGTTACAAAATTATTCCTCTATTCTTTCATTAAGGTAACGTATAAGATTTATAATTATGTGAAAGTAACCTCAGCTTTTTGCATTGGTGAAACTCTACAACAAATAACAACTTTACAAGACGAGCATAAATCCAGAAAGTCCATTCTAATATCACAGGATAATGCAAAGTCCAATGTATTTCCATCTATGATAAGAGCTACATCGTTTTGACATTTTAAATCAATACCAAAATCTAGACAACGTTGTATTATCACCTCTCTAGTTTTCTGTAAGTACAATATTATTTTAAGAATCCTCAGTATAAATTTATATGAATAAAAAAGTAATAGTGTTCATTCTCCTTACATCTAAAGATGATTCATTAATAATATACAACGGCATTCCATGTGTGATCAATCTACACGAGTAACCAATGTTAATAGCAGTTTCCTGTTTATCACCAGTTAATACCCATACATTAATATCAGCTTGAAGAAGAGACTGTATCGTTTCTGGTACCTAAATAATTATAAATGTTAAATTATAAACACGAATATAAATATATAATTTTACTCACTTGATCTTGTAACTGATCTTCGATAGCAGTTGCCCCTAATAATCTCAACTTTGTTTCGATAAGATTCGCAGCATTTTCGATCAGAGTATCACGATTCGCTAAACTAATTGTTGCATTGTGATAAGTTTCTTGCCACCACTATTATGAAAGGAAAGCTTGATTAAGTACGAAATGAAATGTAATGAAATATGAATAAGTGATATGTACCTGATAAACAGTGTCGGGTATGTCTGCAACAGCAAAACAAAGTGTTCTTAAGCCATCTGTTGCAAACGCTTCCAAATGTTCCAAGGTTACATCACGGAAATTGCTTATACCCTGTTCAGGATCAGTATCTTCTACAGAAGATGGAGATAATCTTTCGTAAATAACAGAGTCTGCTCCTTTACAAAAAAGTTTGACTTTTCCTTCTGGTGTTTTAACAATTACTGACATTCTTTTTCTAGTCGACGTGAATTCTATAACATTTAATATTTCGTACCGAAGTCTTTCACCCAAAGCTATTATTTCCACATAAGCAGGCGTTCTAGTATCAAACACATAATTAAATTTTCGTGCTCCATCTACTAATGCTCTTTCATCTATTAAAAGAATAAAACATTAAAAGAATTCATACCATGAATAATATTTTTTTTTAAATAATTGTATGTAAATAAATTACCTGGGGATGCAGCATGATAAATGATGGTATCGTCTATCTTTTCAGGAATAACTGTATGACATACTGAGAGCATAATCATGAACTCGTCCACTATTTTTGCATGATGCGCAGCTTTCTTATCAACAGGACGAGAAGAATTTTCTACTGCTCTTCCTTCTACAATATCTCTAATTAGTTGGCTATTAATGCTACTACCACCTTCGGTATCATTTACAGGCTCTGGCAAACTGTAAAACATTGCTTTTTAATAAAAATTAACGAGAATAAATGTAAAAAAAAAAAGTAAAATTAAATAATTTAACAAACTTACTCATACATCTTGCCACCAATTGAACATCTTTTAAATTCCATCACATTTTTCGTAAGGGTTCCGGTTTTATCGGTAAATACATAATTAACCATACCAAGTTCTTCATTAAGATTACTTGTACGAGCCATTGCGGGGGTATCTGTTTCTGCATGGTACATTTCAATATCCATATTAATAAATGTAGCTTGAACAAATCTTACAACTTCCAATGTAACTTGCAACGAAATAGGGATCAAATTATTAAATAAAATCATAAATGTTAGAAGATTAAAAGCAAAATTTTTAGTCATTTCCTCTGAAATAAATAAATAAATAATTATTCAGTTGTTCAATTGCTACCTGTGAAAACGATAAGAGAAAAAAATTAATCGGTTACCTTGTAAACCTAAATACCATAATCCATTATTATTAGCTTTCATCCATACAACATTAAATATTGCAGACAGAAGGCACAATAAAAGAAGTATAAAGAACAACATGAGTATTTGTGTATTGGTCAGTCGGTCCAATGTAGACCTTTTGAGAGGTGCAGTTGTAGTATTGTTCTGCATAAGTTTTGTATCATGCCCTGTATAGATTACTACACCAAACACCCAACGTGTATTCCTCAGCATTGCACCACGAAGCAATACTTGATCAGGTCCCAAAGCTACACTTCTGAAAGCATGTAAACATATTGTTTGAATGAATTTTACACCTTTAAATTGAAATGTTTCCAAAAATTGACCATACTGTTTATTAGTTTCCCTTAATACTCCATGGAATTCATACAGATGTCTATTTGGTGGCTCGCATTGAATATTTGCACGAAAGGTCATTAATTCTGCAGTATCCAAGAGACTGGCAGTGTCAGGATGGGCTTGTCGTATTTTCAAATTCGTTTCACCATCCAAATTGGCAGTCTCTATGAAAGACATACCCTGTGGCTCCGATGATGACAATAAGATCAAGTCAGCAGGGAAGAAATTGTTGTTACGGACCTGTGCATATTAAAGAAAAGGATTCTAGCAGGAATGCGTTAATCGCCAGCAATTACCGCATTGATGATCTTGAAGAAAATAAGGTGCAACCTTAACTACATCGCCAACAGCAACATGCCGCCACTGAATCCACTGCCAATGCCCATCTCTCAAGACCTCCACCTCGCGCATATTTATTTCATCATCTGCCCTGTGCCTTTTCTGTAACAAGTATCATTCAAATAAAATGTATGCAACAAAAATCAATGATTTACAGTTAAAAAATACTTACAATATCTTCAACTATTTCTTTCAATGCAGACACACTAAGAATAAAAATTAATGGAACTAAAGTTGTGTATCGACCTGTTGGCGATACATCCGGTATTTGCTAAGATCAAAAGTGAAAAATTAATATTCGAAAAATGCTAATAGGAACATATTTAAATTTCACAAATACCTGCATAAGGGCGATGAATAGGAAGAAGCAATTACTGTATCGACGAAATTGTTCAAAAAGGAACATAGGTATAAACGAAAGAAGCGAATACTTTGCGGTAGTAATGTGATTGTTTCTATATTTCGCGGGCTGATGAGGAGCATTGATAAAAACCACCCTCTCTTCGCTACTGTCGTGTTGATGCGAAGACCGCCGACCGTCACCTTGAGATCCACCATTTTCCGCTCTTATGGGGCCCACTGTGATAAAAAAATACACATTATTTTCATATTATCCTTTGTTTAAAATTATAAGTTATATAATAAAAATTATTTTTTTATAATCTAACGAGGAATCCCATGTAACTTCTTATATAGTTTATAGTGAAGAAATCGGAATAGATACGTGGCTCTTTAATCATCTTTACGATTTTTTAATACGTTCACTTACGATTTTGAGCGTACAAATAAAGATGAAAACGAGCTCTGAGTTCGTTGAACCATTGTATCACCTTCGTACACGCTACATCCATGTTGTTGTTAGCCAGATGAAATGTCTTTCACATCACTTCCCTTCGACAATACGATTTAAATGTAACCCGCGATAAGACAACATATCAATACAATATATGTATTTACATATTTACGCATGGATTGAATGACAAATCAATAACGTAAATAATTCAAGGTTATACAATTGGGAATTCTATTTTATTTGAAATAATGTATGTATTACTTGAAATTATACGACGCTACGTGAAGCCGGTCTAACAACAAAGAGGAACTTGATCGCGGTACTATGTTATTCAAGAAAGAGTGGACGTAGTTTGTACTATCTTGGAGGTTATAGCCGCATATCTAAAGAGGAATTCTATAAAAAATTCTTATCGGGGTCAATAGAGATTATACTGGCCAATAGAAACTGTATTAAATGTCAATAACATTCGATTAAAATAACTTCCAATTTAATGCATACTTATTAATACGTTTCTTAAATCAATTGCATTTACGTTCGTTACAATATCCCAGAAAAAAAAATTTCTAAAAATGAAATTTAAAATCTTAAATATCAAACACTCGTATCTTTAAGCGTGAATTTTTTGAATCTTATTAATTCAGCATCAACGTTATAATTAACAATAAATATATGAAAGTACATTGTATATTATCTTTTTATACGTATACGCCCAATATCAATATTATCGCGTACACGCATATACCGACGAGTTACTCATGCTGTTACCGATCCTATCTAACGCTTTAAATTAAATTACGGGAAACAAACATTGTGTAACATCAAACTTTGAACGTAGGTGTTAGATAGTAATTCTTTGATACTGTACATACATGTATCATCTCGCGATATGCGTGTATACAAAATATTTGAACTCGTACACCCCACAGTTTCTCGGCACCAATCATTTAATAATTACTTCCGGTAATATATTATCCATTCGTACGTCACCGTTAATAAATCAGTAGTATATCAAGTAGATAAAAACGTGAACCGAAAACCGAGGTGAAAAGACAGCCTGTATAAGGAAATTATAAAATTAAATACAAATAGAATCAATGACAATCGTAAAGCAACAGTCAGCGTCAACTTGACATTTAAACTAATATATTTCTTTCGCTATCGATTAAATAACAGTGATCAAAATGAATTCACTGTCTGATGTTTTTTAAATGTCCTCGAGAAATTTTAACTCGTCGTAAGAAGATATTAATACACACGGCTAACATTTGGTGGAAACGTACGCGTTTGTTTGATAGTTAATGTACACTAACAGGACACTTTTCTGCACGAGATAACGATCGATTAAACAAACTACCTATCTGCGTCATAGTGCCGAAAGAAGACTCGCGCCTGACGCCACACCCCTACCATACCCAGCACAATACGTGAGTACGTGTACGATACACCTAATCAATCCATAGAAAAATGATATTAACCGAAACTAAGGTTCTTTCATAGAAATTTGTCAATCGAAAATATCCATGACCACATTACGCTTACAAATTTCCTCACCAGACTGACTTTAGTACGTAGGTGGCACTAGCCATCAACTACTTCTTTACCGAGGTATATAGCGTCGATACTCCACAAATAATCTTTATCATTTAATTTTTATTCGTCCGTTCAATAAATGCAAAAAGAGAAAACAATTTATGTTACAACTGTACAGAAAATCATAGCAATTATTAATATAAATGCAGTCCAAAGATTAAACATATTAAACGAATATAACCAACAAATGAATACGTTTAACTGCGGAGCTGAAATTATCAGCCAGATCAAACTAGAAGTATACATATATAATAATGGATCAACCAAAATTGTAATTCAAAATGACTTTTGATATTTTAATTGAAAATTAAGGGGGTAAATTAAATATAAAGGAGATTAAAATGTTAACTTCTGGATGATGGTCTACTGTCCGGGGGTTGAAAATTGAATATCTTCACTGAACACGGGTTCCCAAATGATTCGGTACAACACTGTGTCAACGGAGGTTGTCCAAGAAATGCGACAGCCCTGCGCACGTGTTACCCCGAAAACGCATGCGCTCGCCACCGGCAACAAGTTGGCGTCAGCACCGTGCTGTACTCCACCAGCACTTGTCGTTAATACAGGGACGTGTACGGTAAGGTTGCATCAATAAACAACCTCGTTGCTCGTAGTAGACTCTGGGCCAAGGACAATTCCGGCTAGGGGTGGGCTGAAAGGGGATGACGGTAGCTCCGCACGAATGATATCAAACCTTATTGGAAAATCCGCTCATGCCACTTTAATGAAAGCATAACAATGTATTCGCGGGGCGCAAGGAAAAATCAAATCAAATTGTACCTCGTTTCGACATGTTATAAACTACTTCTTTGCATCAACATAGAGATACACTTTAAATCGAGCAAACGTATTCTTCCGGTATCAACAATACCGAAGGAATGCTTTTAAATTAGTATCTTACGCATTTCGATGCATTCCCACATTTCGAGCGTCGTGGAAAGTTACGTGCTTGACCTTCGTCGTCATCGATGCACAACCGCGGCTATAAACTTTATCGATGCATATCATTTTCGCGTATATTTTTATGACAACGTTGTATCTTTACGATTGCCCGCCGTATCCTATAGAAACAATCTTCAATGTTTCACTGAACTATGGACACTTAACAATCGTAAAATACCGTTTCCAATTTAGCATATTTATTTTACATTCAGTGGACGGTAGAAGCTTCATTAGTCGAATCGATAGGGGCATAGAACATTTCTGATAAGAGGATGTTTCATGGAATTATGATGATAGAAGTGTAGAGAAGGTACGAATGTGAGATACGGTAGAAATGTGTGTACCAAGGTTTTAACCGGCACGCGGTATTGACACTTTTAACAATGATTGTATATCAAGTATTACGACGAGTAAAATACTCGGTCATAACAACCATTGTAACTTTTAACTAAAATTTACTTTGGTTTATTTTGTGAGTTTTAAGTAAATATCAAAAGATATTTAAAATATTTGTGTTTGAATTATGATAAATAATAACAGATTGTGAAAGGACAAGTTGGTATAAATATGAGATACTTGATTCGTAGCAATATGAGACAGTCTTATATTACTACCACATTTTTAAATTTATTACTAATCGATAAAATTAACATATAAACATATAAAATGTACATATATTACGATAAAAGATTTTCTAAAGATTGTAAAGGCGAATTGTGGATGGGCAAAATAAATAAACGTTTCTTTTAATTGGTTGTCTTATTACGTTTGATAACTTTATTTTTTTCAAATTAACACTGTCTCATATTACTAGCTGAATTTCTTTTAACCCGAATTTGGTATCAATTGGAAACATTTTTATAAAGTCTATAATATTTACATTTATATAGCTGATTTCGCAAGAAATCCCCCAAATTTAAAAATAAAATGGGTATTTCATATTCGTACCATCTCCTCTACTAGTATAATATGCATATAATCTTACCTTCGGAATTCGTCTCGGTTCCCCTAGCTTCTTGTAGCTCGATATGTTCGCGAGTCCGACGTCCACTGGCCAGAGGATCTATTCGTAGGCCGATATTGTCGACGTTATCGATATCCCCGAGGTCGATTGGACTACCGATGATATAGGGTCCTGTTTGCTCTTGAGATCCATCGTTGGCTCGACCGGACGCAGGTGAGAAACTGTTACGAACACCACTGTTCTGAGGTGGTGTACCGTCCATATGAGGTATAGAGGAGAGGTCCGGAGGTGTGAATGGACGCAACGAGCCAGGACTGGGAACCCGGGGGCTCCCCCTGGCAGTCGGTTGCATTGAATGCAGCGGGGCCTAAATCAATTGGTATTTGTTAATCTAAGGTTACCAACATCATGGAACGTATTTAAAAATAACCACTTATGATTTAAAATTAAACCAACTCTCCTTTGTTACGCGCGTCGATTGAAAAATGATGGAAAAAAACAAGAGGAGAGCAAAATGATTATAGGAGACATTAATGTTCAAAGTTTTCCAACGTCTAGTTAAGTCTACTACAGTTTACTTTAAGTTACTTTATACATACATAGGTGCCCACTTGACCTAAACTGGCTGAGCTAAACTAGATTTTGCATTTAATTACAATTCAAACATAGTTAACTAAACATTAACAAAATTTGGACGCGAATCTCATTGGAAAGATACAACTTTGTAAAATTATTACTTTTGAAAAGTTTAACGAGGATCAAGTTTTGAAACTTTACGTCGACGATGAACATTATTCATTTTAAAAGTTACATCAACATTTTCCTCCCTCCTGCTTTACTGTTCATTGAACAGTAGAATAGTGGCGTCTAAATTCCGATTCCGTAATTGAACCACTCCAAGTTTGCTCCTGCTAATTAGCTGTTGCGTGTTGCAGCCGGTGCAGTAATAATAAGACGAGCAAACGGTCAAAGCGACACGAACCGTGTTCGAGAGCTGGATTCTTGCACGCGTTTAAGATTGTGCCGTAAAATATAACTGTTTATTACTAGAACGCGAAGAAACATAAAGAAACGATGATGTAACGACGAAGTTAAGAATACACGGTTCGTACACGTATCTAACGCATATTTCATGAAATTTTGATGAGCAAACGTTTACGAACGATTTCGAGCTCCCTATACGCGTCACGGTTTATTTAACGACGCTTTTGTACGCGATAAATCATAAATTATAAAGGCAAAGATCGAATACGAGAAAAGGTCGAAAATCACGCGACAAATGGTTTCGTCTGCCGTTTGAAGATTCCCTTTGTACGTTTTGTTGGAATAATATTATGTATTTGGTTTATGCAAATATGAACCTGTACGTTAAGAGGCACTGCCCATTAAACAAAAGGCCTAGCTCTGTCACCAGAGTCGATGGGTCTCTAGCAGGGCCGGCTCTGGGCCTAGACAGACTAGGCGGCCGTCTAGGGTCCCCCAAGGTCTAGGGCCCCTATAAGACGATTTTGCGTCTAAGAATGTTTACTTGAATATTAATCGATGTAAATGCAAATCTAAATTAATTAGCCAAATTGAAAATCTTGAGAAGGGGACTAAAGCATTTAGACTTTCTGTCACTTGTACATACAGGCCAAACGATAAGAGTTATCAAAAAAATTCTTGCGCCATTATGTTTAGTGGGTCAAAATCTCAACGAATGGCCGACATTTCTTTTTGCCACTTCAAAATAAGTTGATGAAAAGTTTTAGTTTAGTTCCAATAGTTGGCTTTAGAACGAATCTCGCTCTACTTTTACCTAGTTATACAAGCTTTAATGTTAATTTTATAAATCGCCTCGGACCCCCGAAATCTCAGGGCCGGCCCTGGTCTCTATCCGTACCAGGCCTAGAATAATAAACACATTGAAGGCCCGGGGCCCGTTATTTTCTTTTCTGAAAATGGGCGCCAGTTTTCCTGCGTGCATTTCTTCCAAGCTTTCAAAATAAAATATCCAGTATAAAGAATTAGCAGAGCTTTTTAAATATAATCCCATATTCCATTACGTTTTAAAAACGCCGACTCGATGGACTGAACCAAAGGCTAATATTGATATTATGGGCGTGAACGATTTACGACATCAGCACTTTGCGACAATTAACAGTTACACCGTGATAACTCGTCGCCAATTGTATGCGTACGTGTACGTGACTTAAGGACAGTTTACTCTGTAAAAAGTTGTCAGGGAAAAGCTGCACTAATGGAAACGAAAGGAGCATCGTGTCACGATAAGAGGAAAGCTTATTTACAGACAGAAATGGGAACGAAAAAATTGCTCGAATAATGAACGTTAATAAATCAACTGTCACTGGACGAGTAC